CCATTCATCCGTCTGCTCTCGATTTAAGAAAGTGGTATCAGAACCCATACGCAAGGACCAGAATCCAGGCACGACCCAAATCAGATTCATGACGATAAATTCGGCAGTGTTGAATTCCTTGTTGACTTTGACAAAGAGGTGTGTGCGGTCGACCAAGCGGCTACTAATGAGAGTCAAAGCCAGAATAAGAATTGCGTACGAAGTTTGAACCGTTGGATAAATCAGTTTGAGTGCTCCAACAGGATCGAAAGAAGCTTTTTGGATGTGAGGTTTGTCAGCGTCCTCGAGGTGACCAAAATGGGAAGCACTCACTATGTTTCTTGTGCAAATAATAAACAACCGGTCCGAATAAAATCGTGACCAGGAATATGATCCAGACTCCAGCTGGAGGACCCGTGTATGCGACGCAGCAGCTAGTTTTTCCTTGCATTTTCAGACCAGAAAACTGTTGAACGTTACAAATCTGATTCAACAACAGTTCCACCTGTTTTGCAATTTGCTTCAATCAGGTGACGCTGCCAACCATTAACAACCAATTAGACGCACCTCTGCCGCATCCACTTGCGGGATATAATGCAATCCATCCAGCGACATGTCATCGCTCGTTGATGTCAAAATGTGAAGTCCAATTTTACCCAGCTGCAATTCCCCTTTTTTCGTCGCAGAGTATTGACCGTTTTTAACAAGAGAAAACAATTTTGCGTTGTAGTCATGCCGCAGGCTGTTTTTCAAGACAAGCTTGCGTTCTTCGGAAAGAAGCGATTCGCGAAACGGAGGAATGAGGCGTGCGAAAAACACGTCGGAAACAGGTTTCTGAGCTTCAACGGCTGAATTGATGCGGCTGTTGATGGCAGATACAGCCTCGCCGAACCTTTTTCCGAGGACGGGGCATGTGAGGAGAAGTAAAAAAATTAAATAAAAAAGAACCTCACTTGTCCGTTTCCGCACGCTGATCTGGACCACCATACCTCAAAAACCAACTCCCCGCACTAAACACAACGAGCGACGTTTTCGGAGGCCCATCCGCACCACCAAACACCAAATCCATAACATCCGTACGATTCAAAAACGGGTCCCACAGAAACTGAAGATGCACTCCCGCAACATCGCTCGTCAAATCTTGATGCTTTTTATCCGCCTCATTCGCAAAATCAGACTTTTTTGCGCCGAGTTTGAGCCGCAACGCGTTAAACACGGCTCGCATGGAACTGTCGCCGAATGCAACGACGCGAGCAGATTCTTTCGCTCCGAGACATGTTGCTGTTTGTTTGGGGTTGTATTTGGCAATGGCGCAGGAGGATGGGAACCATTGGAATTTAGGGCTCCAGTGTCCGTCGCCAAGGGCGGTGCTGCACGCCTCGGAGGGGAGAAGTCCTGCGTTTATCGAGAGGAAGTAGAGGTAGTTATAAACGAGAAGAAGATCAAAGATACATCACAGAGAAGAAGAAGCTGATACCTGCGTAATGCTTCGAAAATACGCGCATAAACAGGGACACAAACAGACAGCACACTGCAGCCAAACGCAGTCCCAGCCACAGCAGACCAACTCTTTTGCTGGATTGTGTGAATACGCTATACGAGACAAAGAGCGGCGTTGCGGCGGCCTTTGCGGCCTTCTTGACAGTGGTGGGGGATATGAGGGTATTCAGATCGACAGTCGGGTTTGTGGTCTGAGTGTTGATGGCTGGTGCCTGAGAGTGCGTGCTCATTTCAGTGAGCTCCATGGACACACGGGCCGTGTCCTTGTTGAGGAGACTTGTGCTGGTGTCCTCCATCTGAACCCAATTTATTTCAACCTTTTACTTTAAGAACAGGGCACTCAATTCCCTTGACGCCGCCAACGCATATCTGTAAATAAGTACACTGACGATAGCGTTTATTCCCCGCCCAAGACACTAGCCCCACAAACCTCGCCGCGGGGATCTGGGTTTGGATTCATACGCGTCTTGAGGTCGGCCTGGTGCTCCCGGTACAGCGACAGCTTCAGCGCAATCAGCAGCACAAACGCGACCGTGAAGAGCAGATGTTGAATAGCATCCAACATGTACGCGTACACGGGAGACTGAACAACTCCATCCATCGTCACAACGCGCCACAAGTACATCACAAACGTGACCATGCACACCAAGTTTGCAGCAACGCCGTAGTAACTAATAAGCAGGAACCGTTGCGACACTGGCTCCGTGTCTGTAACGCGCGTACTCTTTCGGATGTAGTGAACAAAGAAACAGAGGAAGACCAAGTCAATCAGAAACACCGTCAGTGTGGCGCACATGTCCAATCCGCGAAGCCAGTGCTGCCACATTTCTGCAATGATTCGTTCGGAAACGTTGGGTCGCTTATTGTCCTCGGTTTCATTGATAAAGACTGCCAAACACAGGGCTGGGATAACTGGAGAATAAATCAGGAATGGGGCAATGCGGACGACAGTTTGAAAGTTCTTTGTCACATGCGGCCATATCGAATTGACAACAGCAGAGCCACGACCCCACCCGTAAAACAGAAAGCTCGATTTGAATGTGGCAGACAGCATGAACTGCGAAGGCAACAAAAGCACGGACTGAACACTGAGTCGCGCTGTCTCAAGAATCAGACAAGTAAAGACACCGACCAGCGATAAAGACATGACCATCAACTGCACATTAAAAGGCGAAACGGCGTCTTTGAATGTCCAGTTCCGCTCAACTTTCCGAACATCAAACTTGCAAACGAACAAAACAAACGCGCACAGAACCAACGCGTTGATTCCAAATCCAGCTTGCGATGCATTTTGAACTGATCGATTGAACGGAACTGCCATGTCCCACTGCGCGCATCGACTTGATTCCGGTGAAATTGGATACACGGAAAAGTACGCGTCTTGCTCACTTGATCCAACACAGGGACCATCAACACAAGGCATGGCACACAAATTATCCGGCACTGCTTCCATATTACTCCCCGTTTCCGATAAACTGCACTTGAGAGAACATCGACACCGTAACCCGGTCAAGTTCCTTTCAAAGAACAGCATCGCAAAGTACGGTTGTTCCTGTAACGGACCCAAACAAAACCGAGTGCACTCTGAAATATCTGATACTGAAGTGCTGTACTGCCGCTCGACGTATACGCGTTTTCCTTTGAAACAGGCTGTTAAATGAAAATGGTTTTGTTAAGTACTTCTCCTTGAGATTGGCCAGACATGACTCAACCTGCAACAGCAACATTTCCCTCCGTCCGAGTTTGATTGTAACTAGTGTTTGCCGAGATGGCAGCATCCGGAATGGACGGCATTCTTTGCAACAATCGGTTGTCATTGTGTATAAGAAAATCCCTTCTTTAAATTTCTTCTTGGCCTGGTTCTATCCATCTCTGTTTGGTAGTACCTCCACTTAACCCTAGTAGGCTGGTTGAATCTTGCGCCATCACTTCAACAGCTGCCTCCGCATTTGATTGGTCGGTTGTTTCGGAACCGACCAAGGGTAAACGCTATAAAAAGCCGTGCCCTTCTGTCAATGAATGTGGAAGGCCGCATTCATTCGACCCAGGTGTCCTCCCATCAGCTTCTCACGAGGGCCTGCTTGCCACAAGGTGCATTCCAATTTTGGTTCTTACGGTTTCTGAGCACAACTCATCACACCAGCAAAGCGCAGTTTTTTAATATTCTCAACACGTCGCCAAAAGAATCACCAAAAAACACTGGAACCACACAACACATCACACATGAAAACGATGGCGCCTTCCCGTCGTTTTCTTTGAATATATTTTTTTTCTACAGTTTGCCTAGTCACAAGGTCGCGTTGGCCTCAGCAAACTTCCAGTTGACAAGACCCCACCAGCTCTCAATGTACTTGGGTCTGGCGTTTCTGTAGTCTGGATTCGGCGAAAGAAACAAAAAGGTAAGTTTCACTTTTCATCACACCACAAACAAAGAAAATATAACTAACCAATGTAGTACGCGTGCTCCCACACATCGCAAACAAGAATGGGCTTCACGGTTGTGTCGTGAATGACAGAGACAGCGTCGTGGGTGTCGACAATCTTGAGGAGACCCGTGGCCTTCTCTTGAACGAGCCATGCCCATCCAGAGCCAAAGTGTCCCGCGGCAACGTCGCTGAACTTGGTCTTGAAAGCGTCAAAGGAGCCGAATGATTTGACAATGAGGGCGTTGAGGGCGTCGCTTGGGGCAGCTATTTTTTGTTTTAATGAGTGAGTTGATAAGGAACTTTGGTTTCAATAATTTGATTTTTGTCACCTTGGCGGGATGCAACTGGGGCCAATGAGTTCCAGTAGAAAGTGTGGTTGAAGGTCTGAGCGGCAGAGTTGTAGATTCCAGCTGGAACGTTGGATGGGCCCTGATGAATGCGATCAGCCATAAAACCCAAGCAATAAAATAATAAAAACAAACGCCGCCGCACCTTGGCAACGATTTCCTCGACAGAGTGCTGCTTCAAGTCCTCAGACACGATACTGTTGAGCTTGGCAACGTAGCCGGCGTGGTGCTTTCCGTAGTGGAAGTCTGCAATGCGCATGATATCGGTTAGTTCCGCAAGTGCTGCTGCAAGAGAGAATGCTGCTCACCCAGTGTCTCGGCACTGATGTGTGGGGCAAGGGCGTCCTGTGCGTATGGAAGTGGTGGGAGAGTGTAGGTCATTTTTGGGGTGTTGTTTTTTTTGTTGTAATTCGAATTCGAATCAAAGAGTTTGATCGCGGCTCGATTTCAAATCACGTCAATTCCTGCACAACTGATTTGCCATCCGTTCTTTCACGCTGAGCTCTGGCTCTGGAGTTGATGCATGAATTGTCTCTGCCGCCGATGTGATGCTCCAAGTGGCACTGAGTCATGCCAAGGTTGAGGGAGTCGCCATCGTGCGACTGACGCGCTGCTGACTTGACCCACTGTTTACTTGGTCCATGCATGTGGCTTGGATGCTGGTGAAACACGCGTCCTGCCCATGTTCTGCCTTCACTGCTCATCCACACTGTTGAAAGTGTTTACGCCGAATGTTAATTTCAAAAGAGCGCCTGTAGCTTAGTGAGAAGAGCGTCTGAACGTTATTTCCGATTTCCCACCGGGGGTCCCGGGTTCAAATCCCGGCAGGAGCCAGTGCAAAAGCTCCTGTAGCTCAGATGGAAGAGCACCGGTACGATATCACTTAAAGCAACATCAGAAGACGTGGGTGCAACTCCCGCCAGGTGCCTCAACCCAACTATCTTTTTTACTTTCCTCTCTCTTGTTCAATATAATGTTTGTTCAGCGCTTGCACTGTTCTTCTCACTTGCTCATCCACACGTTTTTTTGAAGTGTTGGAGTGGAGATGGAAGAACTCCGCCGCGTGATCAAAGCGTAGGTTCAGGAGACTGTTGCCCACCAGGTGCCTTTCAGTCTTGCATGATCGGTGTACCCGCACGTGCATACACAGACAGACACGGGCAGGGTGAAATTCAAACACGCCTATCAATAACGCAAACACACAAGCAAAAACAAGAACAGAAATGACGGCTGCACTGACTGCGGATTACGTGCACACCGTCGTGATTGCAACCTTCTTCTACGCCCTGGCATGCGCTATGGGTCTGAACGGCTCTGCAATGGACACTCACAGGCTTCGATACCGACGCTCCAACACCCCAGTCATGGCAGCCATCCTAGTCTGCAACCTGGCGCTGCTGGGCGAGATCCTTGCGTTCGAATGGGGCGTGCTGGCCCCTAACGCAACGTACCATGTGTGCATGAGTGTCTTCCGTGAGTTTGATCTCCGCTCTCAAGCCACACACACAAGCCTCTCAATGGATGACTAATTGCTGACTAATCAGTGGGGTTCATTCTGTACAAGTCGTGGGTCATTGCGCTGAAGCGACGCGTCGTTAGCATTGTCTCAGCTGCGATCGTTGTCGTGCGCGTCGTGTTTGGCGTCTGGGAGGCCGCAACGTGTCGCGGGTATTTGTCTGCCGAGGGCGAGTGTCTGTTTGACTTTTCAAAGAGCGTGTTTTACGGATACGTGAGCATTGATGTGGCTGGCGACTTGTTTGCTATGGTGGTTGCCGTCGTGTCGGGCCGGATGGATGGATCGACGCGCTTGTCAAAGGTGCTCATGGCCGAGAACGGTGAGTTTGCTGCATTAGAATGCTTTACTTTATTGAACACATAAAACAGTCGCGCGGTCTGGAGTCAGTCTCATTCAGTCTGTGGTGTACATCTGGGCCAGCCAGTACCCGAGCACGTTCACGTTTGCAAACGGCATCCAGATGGTTGTGATTGCCCTTCTGCTCAACAGCGACAGCGAGTTTATGCTGATGGAGGCCCGCAGTGCCGCGTATCTCGAGAGCAAGCATGGGCCCACGGTCATGTTCTTACGTAAAAAGTTAAAAATAAAACAGAAGAAAAAAAACGTTTTAAATTGCCATCTCCCCCATCTCCATGTCGACGCCTCTTGGACCTGGGAAGGAAGTCTTTGCGAGCGATGCGAGTCTGCGTCCGACAGATGTGAGTTGCATTCTATGCATCCTTTGCTGCTGCTGTTTGGAGGATGCTGTATGTATGTATGTATGGATGCTGTACTGACCCGCTTTCCCACAACGCAAAGATTTCTGTGTCTGTCATTGTCGCATGCGCAGTCTACGGATTCGCATGGCTGGTATCACTCGTACTCGTTACTGTCTACACACAGCGGGAGAGCGTGGCTCTGAAACGGGACATTGCAGCCTTGAAAGAGCGGCTGCTTGTGAAGGCCCACGAGGAGGGATTCCGCCCAGCAGCAGCAGCAGCAGCAACAGCAGCAGTCACTCAACAGCAACCATCCGCCATCGAATCAGCGCATCCTCATTTAGAAAGAGAGGTGTCTGCCCGCCGAAGCACGGCAGCCCCACTGCGCATCAACATATCAACAAACGGTGCCAACAGCGGACACCACTCTGCCCTGCAAACTGGCCTCAATGACATTTCAATGCACCCGATAAACTCTCAAAACGTCTTTTTCAACGACGGAGACAATTGTGATGACGACGCTGCGCTTGTTGTGCCGTCAACACCTGAAACAAACAAACTTATTCTCGCCCTCGCAAACGGCGATGATGTCCACGACTCCTTTTTTGAGTTTGATGCCTCGGAACCACCGCCTATTCATGAGGACTCTGATGCTAAGCGATTCTCTGCCATGAACAACAACACAAACAAGACTACATCAGGACTGCGCAAGTCCGACTCAAACAACTCAATGGGTTCTTCAAACAGAAATGAAATGAGCGTGGCTGGCGGTGGTGGTGCGCGGGTGGGAGTCGCAACTTCTGCAAAGTACCTGAGCGCTGACACACTGCCATCATCCATATCTCGGCGTGGAAGCACTTCAGCGCCAGAAAGCGTCATTTTTGTACCAAGTCATACCATCAGGTATAACATCATGCGCAACTATTTTCGTGTCACTTGTTCTTTTGTAATTGTTGCACACACATTTACTAACTGTTGATTTCTCTTGATTTCTCAGCCGCCCCAACCTCCTCCTTAGAGCGTCAGCATTGCCGCACAACCCAAATCTCTGGCGCAGAATGTTCAGCATATCCTCCCCCAAATTCCTCCCCGAAGACATTGACATTGCTTCAAAATATGCACCGGGCAGCGCCGCCCGTGCCCGCTTCGTCGAACCCTTACCCCCAGTAACTCCATTAGCACAACGTGTCCACCGTCTAATCCTTGCCGCAATCGATGCAGACTTGAAAGTTCTCGAATCCCGTTTCAAAAAAGACGCTGTGCGTTATCCGCCCGTCATGTACACTTTTGTCGGGTTCCAACTGCTGGCTGTCTTTTTGTTTGTGTTTGGACAAGGATTATCGGGGTGGCCTGCTGGATTACCGACTTTTTGTTTGGTTGTGGGAGTTACGCTTGGGTTTGAAGTCCTGGCTTCTGTCCTGATTCGAGATTTGGTATAATCTCCTTCCAAGTTGACAGTAACTTGATCTCATACATATTTTTTCTTTTGTACAGCTGACGGACTTGAAAGCCGAACGAGCATGCCTCATCCTCTCCCTCCGCCGCGTCCAAGCACGTGCTCCATACTCGCTACAATTCACAGCAACTACATACAGCTACCGCATGAAACCCTTAGAATACATTTGGATCCCGTTCGTGTTCCTTTTTAGCTGGTGGGCTGTACCGCTCGCTCGCCGCGCGTTTGGCGATGCAGAGAAAGTGTACGTAAAGGGCCCACCAAAGAGTGAAGGTGGTGGCGTGTTTGGCGGTGTTGAAGATTCTGGTGCGGAAGCTGCTGCGAGCGGCGGTGCTTGTATTGTGTTGAATGGGCGGTTGAGGCCTACAGTGTGGAATGTGAGTGCATTGTTGAGAATGCCTGTTGGTGGGGACGATGAGGTTGTTGAAAAGGGACCGAGGATGGGTAGTCAGGAGACTGCTGTTGATGTGCGGGGATGACTTAAATTTTTTTTTTGTGTTCACATTTGTTTTGTGAGAGAGGCTTGAGCTTACAAGTTTTTTTTTATATGGTTCTTTTTTATGGTTTGTTTCTTTTTTTGGCAAAGTATATTACGTGGCCTTGCGCACGCGTCAAAATGTCGTTTGCATTTCTGGAGTCTGGTGGTATGCAAAAAGCAAGCTTCGATAAACAACATTCATGCCCAAGGATCCAAAGTAACCCACCTTGGATCATGTAGTCTAGGTGAAGCTTGGATAGGGAGCTGGTACAGTGGGGCATGAGATCTGGGCGGTCGTACCAGAGACGATATGAGCAGGGTGATGAAGGCAACCTATAGCAAGGGGCCCCGGAGCAGAGCACTGTGACCCTCTCTTTTATACGCAACAAGGTAGCTTAATCAGCCTCTTTCACTCACGTAGCCTGAAAGACTATCCCCTCCCCTGCAATCTGGGGCACAGTTGTGTAATTGTTACTATAGGTTAGCTCCATTGACTGTACCGATGCAATAGGTAGCCCTACTCACTTGCCTCCTGACAGGTACTATACCTTAAGCTCAGACATGACACCAATGTTCTTTGGTAGCACTAGCAACACAAGTGAAGGTAGCACCCTTATCCATGCCATAGCCCAACCCTCAGGCACTCAACACGTTCCTCTTTCTGATCGATGAAAACGACATGACTGGAAAGTCCAATCTTTGCCGCCATTTGGAGTGGCCAATTATTCAGTGGGATTCTGTGCTGCTTTTACAGTTTCACCTACTGTGCCGTGAGTTCATTTTTTCCTTCTTGCTTTTTTACTTCCGTAACCTTGTTCCTAACTTCTCGTGGTCAGTTTGCGGGCCGAGTTCATGCCTCCAACGGGGTTTACGCGGTTCTTTCAACTCAAACTGGGTTCCAAGTCCGCTGCCATGACTTGGACTGTGCCGCGTCTCGCCATATCGTGGACTTTTTGTCCCTTCCCGAGTCACTTCGCGACTTGGCGAAGCGTTCATTGGAGCCGCCTGTTAAACCATTCGCCGCGGAACCCGTCCCTGCCGCTGCTGTTGTTGCTGTTGCTTCAGACCCTAAACTCGAATCCACCACCAAGGTCATTCGCACCCAGATCCCGAGCATGGTACCGACCAACGTTTTGTATAACGCAAGACCGTCAACAACGACTTCCGATGGCTTCGTCGCGTATAGGACTGATGGACGTTGTCCAAAGTGCAACCAGTTTCATGCTGGCAAATCCTGCTGCGTCGAGGTTTCGAAGCACGGTAGAAAGTACTCGGGGCGCGTCGATTGTCCAAATGAGAATGGCGGCTTCTTTATTATCTCGGCGAAAGATGCAAAAACTGCTCCAGCGTATTGTGAACGGCATCGATCAGTCTATCGTCGAGGGCATTCAAAATCAAATGTTGGACGCAGGTACCACTCGAGGCTATATCAGGCAGCGTGGAACCGGGATTGTATATGTGCAAATTCGCGATATTCCATATGCAGTGGAGCCGTTTCGAGTCGATGACTTGGGGATACCCCAGGGCCCTGCCGTCTTTCTCGAGCACATTTTTCGCAGTAACCCGGATTACTTGACTCCGGGAGTCTTTGAAAAGTTGATGAATTTCGTCAAGAATGTCGGCCATGAGAACTTTCCTTGGCTCCAGAAAAGCAGGTCGAAGTATGGCTTTCGAAATGGTGTCTATGATGCCCGTACATGCGAGTTTATGCCGATCGAGGTGGTCAAGCAAAGTATCGCTGATGGTACCGTGACAGCGTTCGTGGCGCGTGTCTTTATAA